CAAGCATCTCTGACCACTGCAGAGAGCCTGAAGCCCTTCCACTTCCAACATGGAGATGAGGAGAGGGTCAGGCACCGACAGCAGCATAATGGATTTCTTTATGACTGCGGCTGCATGGGCTTTTTATTACTGTGAGGACAGCAGCAGTAGCATTTTAAGGGTGTTTTTCCAAAACAATTCATCCATAGAGACAAAGCTAATGTATAAAAGTTCAAGCTGAGTGTCACATTAAATCACTGTTTCATAAATTTGGAAGAGTGCAAATACCAATTATGTGACTCTGTAATATCTGTGTCACTGCAATGTTGATTCCTAACTTGCACTTGCACACTGTGCTAATTCATTAAAATAGTAATAATATACAGCTGCAACAGACACACACACACACACACTCTGTAAATGAAGACAGAGTACAGTGAGACACCCCCTCTGCATTAAATACCTCTGCCTGCGTCAGTATTTTTTTCAGTGACACCTCACTGGTGATGACATGCTGGAGGGCAGAAGCCACATCCTCTAGCTTTGGGTAACACACAAACACACACACACACACACAAACATATACACACACGATCCACTCAGCAAGGGACGGGAGCAGGTGGCGAGCCAGGGGTATGCTCTAGCTCTGGGAGGTTATTTATAACCTGCGTGAGTACGGGGGGTGTCACCTCTAAACAGCCATGAAAATGTTGAAAATAGGTGTGGGAATGAGCATGTGTTTGTGTGTGAAAGAGAGAGACAGAGAGAAAAAAACACTACAAACAAGATGACACATTTCATTCCTCTCCTGCAGAGTCCACCCATTCAGCTGGGACTATGTTATCATAATTTGGCATGGTCTCACACCTCTCTCTCTCTCTCACACACACACACACACACACACACACACACACACAAAGAAATTCAGACAGACACGCACAATTGGGGCTTCAGGGGATTTGAAGCCACATGTGATCTGAGTAATGTTTTTGTTCCAGCAAGATCCAGAAGTTCACTGCACCCCGCAGCACTGTGGGAAACTATACACACAGTGCACAAAAATCCTTCCAGTTAGATACAATTTTTTGTGCAAAATAAAAGTGTTTTGATTACTGGACAAACTAAAAGTGACATTACTTTGCACTCAGACATAGGCTACATGCCAGAGGGTGATTGTGAGAACACACACATTCTGGTGTGGAGCCTTGGTGCTAAAGCAACAGACACTTTTATTTTTGTTACTATAAAAGTCCTCCAGAGTCTTTACGTGTGCAGCAATGTGGCTTGCTCCTAAATCCACACATGTTCCTAAATAGAGCCAGGAGACAGGGAGACGGCGGATCGGAACCGGACAGTAACTTACACCACTTCCTCTTGAACCTTGACCCCTGAGGGACTTGAAAAAGTGGATCGTCCACTACTGTCTGCGTCATTTTCTCCTCCGTTCATTGCCTCTGGTTCTTTTGTACGCGGTGGGAGGGACCAGGCCATCAAAATCAAATACTTTTAACGATCTACAAACATGCTTCCAGATCTAAACGGGACCTGCAAAACACGCGTTTATCCTTTGGTATGCAAACATGTGCGGCATGAGATGCTTCTGTTCTATTTAACGGAGAGCAGGAATATTTCGTAAGGGAGAGAGAGAGAGAGGGAGAAGAGAGGGGGGGGGGAGCTGCTTTTGAGTCCGGGCTTTATCTAATTTGGAAACAGTGTGGCAATTCTTTGCATTCCTTCAGTTGACTATTATGTGGTGAATATAGTGGAGAACAGTTAAATTAAGTCACATGACAAACAGTAAGCAGTACCTACGGCTGTTTGAAACAACTGCAACAACAATGTGCACATCCAGGACCTGTTTTACTCCTATCATGATCTTTTGCTCGTTGCCTTCAGCTGCTAATGCACTCAACGTACTGTAGTGTGCAACCAGACTGTGTACAGTTCCCTGAGGAGCAGTTATTCACCTACCTGAGAAAGTTGCAGGACTTCAGGATGTAACTCGGGGTCTGCCTTTATGTGGATTCTTCCTGTGTCAGTATGAGGTTTCTTCATCTGGCCAGTGCTTGTACTGTGAACGCACCCCATACTTCCTGTTTTGCCTTGTATCTTTTAATTTCCTCGAATCTTATCCGCTCGATCCAGACAAAGTGTTTTAGGTCCTTCTTTTCTCCTCCTCCTCCTCCTCCTCTCAGCGCCTCATGTTTTGAAGGGCCTCCTTGTGTTTCTATGCCAGTGTCTTCCCCTCCATGTTCCTTCTTCCCCAGTGACTCCTCACACCTCTGCCCTTCTCTCTGACAGCTTGTCCTGCCTTGAAATCCACTCCAGATGACTTTGCCCTCTCCTCTTACAACCCCTCTTTCTCCCCTTCAAGAAGTGTCACCAAGCACAGGCCGTCCACTGCCTCCCCCCCTCCCTCCCTCTCTCCTCTTACACTCTTCCCTGTCCCTTTCCTCTCTGGCAGTCCTCACTCTGAAAGCACGCAGGCATACACTCACCACCTCTCACTTCCCTTCCTGCTTTCCAATACCTCCCTCTCTCCTCATCGCCTCTACAGACCCTCAAATGTCTTCTACGCCGCTCTTTCCTGCTCCACACTCACAGACCCTCCTCTCTTGCCCCCTCTATCCTCTTGCCGTCTCTCCAGGGGGGGAGAAGGGGGCAGCTGTTTTGGCTTGTTGATGTCAGGCCCTTCCCCTTGGCTTCACTTAAGCCCCTCTCACTCTCTTCTTCCTCATGGGGGAGTGACTGGATACAGCTTCTTTCACACACGTCATCCTTCTAGACTCTGGAACTTTGCTCATGAGAACATACTGTGAGCTAGATCCCACTACTCCCTCCTCTCTGCTTGCTGGAAAGGAAGTGAGGACTTTTTTTTTTAACTATCCGCTTGCCTGGGTTTTTTAGTAGACGCCTGGTTGAGACTCGAGGCCTACTTTCTTTTGCCAACAGGGATCTTTCCTTCTTTAAACAATATATATCTGTCACTCCCTGGGATGTAAAAATATTAGATGTGATGAACACCACCCTGTTCGATAGGACACACGACACCAACATTAATGTTCTCTCTTCAGTCCCTCAGTTGCTCTCTCCACTGAAATGAAAACAATGATAGACTCTGTGCCTAAATCTCAAATATGCTTCTCCCCTCGTTAAATTCCTTCAGACTACAGCTCTCTCTCTGTAACACACACACAAATCTGTATTTCCTCTAACTGGGTTCTCCAGACAAAACACTGCTTTAAGATGGAGGTTTTAGGGGTGTGAGGGGAAAATCTCCAACAATAAGCCCTTTCTAAAACCATGTTTTTAGCCCCCAGTTTGACCGTACAAAGCGGTCCTTGGTTTAAACTCAGACAAATCCGGGGCTGCGGGATAAATTAGGCGACAGACAACATGCATTGAGTGAGACTTTCAGCAGCCTCAGAGATGCCTCTGTATTGCAGCTCCCGTGATGGCATCAGCAGACACATGGAGCTGACCATGACGGATTACACATATAAAGTTAGTATACATGTAATGGCAAATTTCATTTGATACATAATCTAGGGCCCTGAGTGATGTAAACTCCAGTCATGTTGTGGCTTGAAGAGGAGGAAGGAAAGACCCTCCTGTGTGGACCAGCTGCTGATTCACAAGGCAACAAGGGTGGTGAGCTGGCTGGCTGGCTGGCGAAAACATTTTTAAACTCCAAGATGCAGCCCTCTTTTCACTAAAGTATAAAATAGCATACAATGAAAATACTCAGGTGAAGTCTGAATACTCCAAAAGTGTGCTTGATTATAGTAGTTATTCCACCACTGGATACACACACACACACACTTTGCAACCTCACAATGAAGAGAAACTCTTTACTGAATTTGAAATCATGCAGAACTACACTAAATGTAAAAAACAGCAGGTACGAGTTCCTAATATTCTTTTTAAACATCAGCTTCTCCTAGATGATGTGATTTGAACACTTTATATCTTACCAATTTCCCTTCCTAGTGCCACCATTCACAAAGATGTAGGTACAAATAAGCAAAAGACAATAGTAATGTGAAAGAATGATATTAAATTAAAACCCAATCGAAAGTTTAAGTATATAAACATTACATGACCTTATGTTTACTTGTCCACACAGGTGGTTGATACTACAGTGAGATTAAGCTTCTGTGACACCCACACACTTTATGCTCCCTAAGTAGCCATTTTGATATAAACGGTATACTCTGAAATAAATGTGCACAGGACCGATTTGTTTGTAGCAGGTATTGAACAACTCTTAACATTAAACGGTGATTGGCAGGTCATTTTACTTGCTGCCACTCACCATTCCCTCTGTCTCTATATGCTCTCTATATGGGGTCTAGAGTCTTATCTCACAACAAAGTGGGTGCCCTCTGTCTGTGTGTGTGTGGGATGTGAAGCTCAGCAGGATCCTAACCAGCTGCCACCAGGAGTCGGCCCTCAGCGGGGGGGGGGGGGGGGGGGGGGGGGGGGGGGGGGCTTGAGACTTGATAAATAGTCTGTCTTGGACCACACTAGAAGAACAGCAAGTGGAGGCACTCTGTTGTAGTTGCACATGAAAGTGATGCAACTCGCCATCCTGCAACAGACACTGGTTTTGTGGTTAATTTAAATTGCCGCGCCGTCACAAACATGTGTAGGGCCTAGTCAGGTTAATGCAGGCAACAAAGAGGAGCTGCTTGACAGTTTGGCTCGTTTGTAACCGTTAACTATTACAGCCAAGCACTAAGTCGGCTTTAAACGGGTAGTTTACACACTTGAACAGTTTTTTTGTTTTTTTTTTAACCCTTGGCCTGAATACCTCCAGTAATGCATACATATACAATGACCACATACTATTTGAATGTACATAATGACCCCAATTTATTGCAAATTGGAAGACAGCTTCATGTAATCTCATGCAAATGCTCACACCCTACTATAGGCAACTGCAAACTTTCCTTAAATACTTGTACTCCTCACGTCAGCAAGAGTGAATGATTTAGACAGCTGTGGAGAATCTTTAAGACTGCTGTAAACGACCATGAGGAGCCTTTAATTGATTTGATTATTTCATCAGGTGTAGAAAGAGACATCTGTACAATGACTGGGGCGATAGTAATGGCACTTGTAGCGGGTCACTCCTGCATTACTGTAGTCTATGTATTACACATTCCCCTCTTGTAATACTGTGTTGAATGGTACACACATGATTGACAAAGATTTTTAAATTAGTCAGCAGGCTCAACATTCATGACTGTTAGTGTTGGAAGACTGATTTTCATGACTAAATTTGACTTAAGAGATTGGTTTAGAATAATTATCTAATACCAAATTATTTTCTAACAAATAACAGGGGTCTAATAATGAATTATTATGCAAGTCAAAATTTGATTTAGAAAAAACAGGTTGCACTAAGCTACATCTTCTGTTGGATAACATCTGACCTCACTAAACCTTTGATTCACAAATATACAAATTCATTTTTTCCCCACTTTTTTCATTTATTTATTACAATTAATTCAATGTTATCCATCACTTTTCCACGTGTCAGCTACTCTGTTTTTTCCATTTAAAACAAGTCCAGTATGTGACTATTCTTCAGAAGCGGAATAGTCCAGAAGGAGGGTCAGGGGAGGGTGGGTACGTGGGTGGGAGGGGGGTGTTTTGAAAGTAAAGGACAGGTTTGTAGCAGGAAAGAAGGTAGGGAGTGATGTCCTCCCAGGAGCCTCTTCCATGTGGAGTTTTTTTCATAAGCTATGTGAGATTATTTTTTTTTCCTGCATTCGGCGTTTTCTCCTCTTCTTGCGCTTTCAGGCGCCGTCTCATCAATTTCTCTCTATTCTACGTCCTCTGCATCATCTCCGTCCATTAGCAAAGCGGCGTACTTACTGGCTGAGCTGAACTTCTGAAAGAGGCAAAACAAAAACAGAAGGTGATCAGTGCAGTAAGCTTCGGATGCTAAACAAATCTAGCTTATGCAAGAGAAAAGATGTCAACTTTAAGGAGCATGAAACATTAGGGCCAATTATTTTATGACTGATGATGGGCTGTACCGGGGGGACTCTGTGATTTAGGGAAACCCTTTAAGGAATTATAATTTGGGTGACATCAAAGGCTGACTAAACCTTGGCAGTGAAGGACTTACGGGGGTTGGGGTTTCTTCGAATTTCTTTGGCTCTGGGGGTGGTCTGGAGTCTCGGTCTCTTCTGTTATCCTTTCTACAATAAGAATGAACACGGAGGTTTTAAATTTTATCGACAGACCCTGTGCTGGAAAGCTGACCCTTTGCTATGAATCCTGCACACATAGTTCAAAACATAGCTATAAAGACAAACTAAAGGAGCACAAATTATGTTCATTTACATAATTTGAAAAGTAACATCTACAAGCTGCTTGGCACCCAGTTCACACCGTGCTCAGTCCTCATTTTCAGAAAACAAAAGAAAAGAAAAACTCATCTATGTCCCAAATTTTAGTTCCAATTTACTATTGATATTTTATTGCTGAAATTGTTCATGTCCTGTGCTACATTCATGGGGATTGGAACTATTTGGTGTAGAAAAGGAGGGTCCACAACACTATGAACAATGACTCATCAGTTGTACAACTGAGCATAGGCCACTCTTTACAGATGCCCAGTAAATGTCCTCCCTGTCTCATTAAGAACTTTGGAGTTGCTAGCTTTGGTTGGCTGACCTGTCGGCCTCCTTTCTTCGGTCTCTGTTGGGCCCCTCTCCTCGGCCCCGCCCTGCTCCAGGCCCTGCAGGCCCCCCTCTTGCCCGTGGGGGCCCTCGGTCCCGACGCACACCTTCAGCCTTGTTCTCATCTTAAAGGAGAAGCCAGACAGTTGAGTGAAGGGGAGGTTGTTGGACTTTAGACAGTAGACTACACTCACAACACACTGCAGCATAAAAAGCCACTGGGTTGGATTCAAAAAGTGTTAGTCACTGATGTAGGGCCAATTGAGAGGTGCACAACTGCTTGAATGCAAGCTTAGCTTGTACAGTGGAATTAATCTCCTATAAATTTGAGCCAAAGGTTTCCAAAACAATAAAAAAAGTCCTATTCTGATAAAGCACTGCAGATTATGTAGGTCTTCAATGTTTTCACGAGTCTGAACTTGAGATTTTTCGTTAAATCAGAATTGTGGTGCATTAGCATATTATTCTGCACCATAGATGTAATTTTTATTATTTGCAAAACAACGCAGACTAGTAACGCAAGACATATTTTTGTGCTCCCCTTGTAATTAATACTCTTAGCTGGAAGATGACCTGCTCCTTTCAGACACGTTCTCGCTTTGCCCAACATGTTTTCATTATGATACGAAAAGCTGTTCTTACACTTTATAATGGAAGTTAGCTAGTCTCAATAAGAAACACTGGAATTCTCTAATATAACTCATGTATTAAAGCTGCACATGTACAGTAAGGAATTGACTTTCTGTCTGTACAATGAAGTTTTACCATTTACAGACTTGAATTGAAAACCCCAGATCCCTGGTTTCATGCAAACCTCAGTTGCCTTTTCTGGACCACACGACAGTTTCAAACCACTTTCATTTCTTTTCAGCAGCAAAAACAGCAAAGTCGTCTTATTTTCATCCATCCACCTTTGTTGTTTCTTTTGGCGTGATGATTTGTACAATCTCATAAGGTTGCTTAATGTGGCTGTGAGTCTTGTTCAGTTTCCTTTGCCACACATTTTTGCAGATAAATGTCAGTGTTTTTTATTGACACACATCTTCCTTCTTTGAATTTCTGTCCTTTTAAAGTTGTGTGTGGGAGCCACACTGACATGGTTTGTTCAACTGTATTCATAGTCTACACTGAGTTTGGTCTCATCAGTAGGCCTTACCTTTTCCACATCCCAAATCATCCACAGAACCTGGGGAGCTAAAGAGAAAGTGAGAACATTCAGGGACAAGCATACAAAACACTTGCATGAAAGTTGAACTCTAGAAGCCTCTCGTAGCTCATTCTGGAGGTGAACAGTACGCTCCTGACAGGCTTCCTAACACACAGTATGCCACACTTGTGTTCTCACCTGAGCTTGGGAGGAGCTGAACCACCTGGGGAGACAGGAGAGACTAGAGGTCGGCCATCACCATCGCTAGAGCCTGTGCTGACTGCACTTCTTTTGGCCCAGACATTCTCCTTAGGAGGAGGAGCGGGCATCACCTTCAGGGGCTCCTTGGAGGAGCCGGTAGAGGGGGGCAGCGGGGAGGACCCAGGGGAGGAGGGTTCACCTTCTCTCCCACTGAACACCTCATTGTCCCCAGAGCGCTCGCCATCTCGACACCGGGACCCTGGTAGATGAAAAGAAGAGCCTGTTGTTTTCTAACTGTTTTACATCACTGTGGATAAGTGTTTACCACTTGATGAGAAATTTGCCATTTTAAGTTTGTACTGGTTGTTTTTTTTTTAATGTATTTTTCTAAACACACAAAGTGCTAGAAGTTCTCCCAGTGCAAATGAAGGCAGCATTTATGAGAGAAAAAATAAGTCTTAAGGTACTCAAAATTAAAACTTTGATACAGACTCAACCTTTGATGGTTTACATGGTGGCATGACTGATGTAACTGATTATCTATCGATTAAAAGTTTTATGTAGGGAAGAAAAAAGGGACAAAGATTGGATATATAGTAACCTAAGAGCATAATCTTGCCTCTTAAGGTTTACAAGGAGAAACCAGATTCCTGAAGGCAAGCTAACAAAATAAAATGCTGAGGTATCTCACCTCTTCCAGAAGTGCTTCCTGGCTGTGAAGACTCGCTTGCTGTGCGAGATCGCTCAGTATGCGATTCCTCATTGCGCCAGCTTGGGTCCCTGAAAACAAAACAAAAAGCGTAGAGACTCCAATGAGATGAATAAGTTGACAGTTCTGAGAACAGTGCTTGATGCAAAGTATGCCACCACTGCACAAAACAAAGCTAAAGCAGTTAAAGTACACATCACATCAATTTTTATTTTTTTCCCACATTCACATGGATTCTTGTTGTCATATCATGTTAATTTAGACAAAATTCATATTGTGTGTAAATAACACCCCAAAAAAACAGATCTACAAAAATCATGTGCTGAATTTGCTGTGTTTGTGTTACAAAAGTATCTTCCTGAAATTTATCAAAGCATAAACAAATAAACAATATGAACTCCTCCCACAACAGGGAATGTTTAAAAATTGTTGACTTTAGAAATAACACATTCAGTTGCCACCAACTACATCAACCACTGACCTGTCTCGCATCTTTCTGTCGGGTCCCCGGCCTTTGTCCTCTTCCAGCTGCCTCTGCAGCCTCTCTTCCTCTTTCTTCAGCCTCTCCTCCACCTCCCTCTCCTTGGCTGCTGTGTCAACCGGCTTGGCCGCGCCAAAGATGGATGATGCTCTGCTGCCGGAGCTCGGAGCTGCAGCTGGGGAAGTTCCACCGCCGCCGCTGCTTGCTTCCTCTTCCTTGGGCACACTACGGGGCTTAAGGTTCAACTTGGGTCTCTGTTGAGGACCTGGGACAAAAAACAAACAAGCTTTAATTACAGAAACAGACGCGACTGTGAAAGTATGTCAACATAATTTGTAACTTTAAACATGAGTTTTTATTTACATTGTATTACTGAATTTTTTCTAAATATAGAAGAACAAAATTACTGCCAAATGTAACTAAGGCAAAAACAAACACTCAAATAATCTTATTTGAGATGATGACAAATAAATAATGCTGCCCAAACGTTGTGTGTGTGTGTGTGTGTATACACAGTGAACGCTCACCTCTCTCCTCACGCCTCTCATCCCGCTTCTCGTCACGGTCTCCATAACGATCCCGCTCTCCATAACGATCCCGCTCTCCATAACGGTCACTGCTACCCCGACTGTCATCATAATCGCGGCGGAAGCCACTGCCAAAGGCACGACGCCCACCTCCACCACCACGAGAGTCAAAACCTACAAAGGATGGCAGGAAGACAGGACAGAAAACTGGTGAGAGATGAAAGTGGAGGTGTGCAAGTGTTTACAAGCCCAGTCAAGGCTGCAGCGGGACAATTGAAGACTCATGTAAAATGATGATGTGATTAGGATTGGCATTATAAAGAATATTTTGGGGATTTTATGAACAGGAGGCAGAACAATAGCTGATACAGAGAGGTATCAGACATCGTAATCCCAAGACAAGGTCCAAACAAGCACAACACACCTCCTCTATCAAACTCTCTGCGGTCCCTGTCGTCATAGCGATCCCGGTAACGGTCTCTTCCACCTTCGTAGCGGTCATTGTCCCGTCGCGGTCCATCTCTGTAACCTCCCGACTCATAACGGTCTCGTGATCCTGCAAGAATTATAAAAGAACAACAATGCGGTTTCACATGTGAAAACTCTTATAATGAACTGTCCGACTGGGTTCTGTTTGAACATCAAACAGGGTTTTGATGGAAGACATGCCGTACTCTCTGCAGTCAACATTTTCATACTTTAGCATGTTTTACAAGTGAAAAGCCGGGCATTATCCAGACCCTGTAGCGATGTTTCAGGAAAGTGAAGGGAGTGAGTTTGGAAACTTTGGAATAGATAGTTTACTTTAACAAATTGTTCCAACTAAAATTCTCCTAGGACACGAAAGTAGTTTCGGTTTTACCCCAGTTAGTATCACTAGTGTTATACCCACTATACCCCCCCATCAAATCAAGTGTGAAAGAAGTACGGATGTTGAAGCACAAACAAAGCCAATTCTGACTCACTCTCTCCAAAGGCATCATCTCTCTTGGGAGGTCCATCGTCTGCGTCTGCACTGGGCCGAGCTCTCCAGTCAGTGTCTGTCTTGTCAGGACCCATGTCCGACATCCTTCCCCTGTCTCTGCCTCCCATCATTCCACTGTCTCTCTCTGAGGTGTGAAGAAAAAGAAGAGAAGATTAAGGGGAAGTTTAATTTTAGAATATAAAGGCAGAGGGACATACTCACATTTGCTAAATGACAATAAAAGGCACACTTGCAATGGCACACTAGTGGCCAGACGTCACAGCAAAAAACAACAACCAAAAAAAGGTAGCATCACACCTTTATCATTGGACTGGTCTGCAATATCCACACGGATCCTTCGGTTTCCCAGGTTCTGTTGGCATGAACAGATAGAGAGGACAAACAGTTTGTGATTCTCCCATATACATTTTTATGACAAAGAAACTATGTAATTACTAGTTCAAATAGAGTCATTTTTTGCAGTGAGGCCAATAAAAAAAAAACCTAACCCAAGATTGTACTGTGCAATACAACTACAGAAAAAGTCATACACTCATATGTAATATAAAACCACGTTCCTGTTGAATCCTCTCACCTCCTCATTGAGACTAAGGGCCCTCAGGAGGGAATCCACGTCATCAAATTCAGCATAGCCAAAGCCCTTCAGCCTCTCTGGGTTACTGGGCTCTCGGGGCAGACGCACAGCACTGATCTGGAGATGAAGATAGTGATAGAGTAACATAAAACAGAGAATGCACCTATCATTGCCATAGCATTGTACCATTCGCCCAAACAAGATCAGAGGGAACAGAGAGTAGTATGCAAATCACGTATATGGAACAAATGGGTTGACTTGATGGAAGAAATACCAGATGAGAATGTTTGTCATCAATTTCAGGACAGCACTAAAAGGTACCTGCACTGTTGAAGGTAACCTTAGTGTGACATCAGTGAGGTTTTCTCACTAACACTGTGACCATTTTATGTAAAGGGTCCCACTCTGCTGTGACTGAACAAGCCAGAGGCCACATGAGGACATGAGAAGTGAATTATTTAGCAATATTTGAACAAAGAGGTATGTGTGTAAGGTACTGAATGAGAAGTTTACAAGGGTTGAAAGAGTTTAACGACTCGTTTTTTTTGTTACTGAAACACTAATCGGACCAGTTTGGCTTTTGGGAACTCTGTTAAGTGTAAAAGCTCAATCTTTTCTGGCTGCATGAGGAAACTTTCAATAAGCAATTATATTTATTTATTTTTTCACTGTGCCACTACCTCCTTACCATGACCAGTGCAATGTTTAGATCTGTCACATCTGTGTATTTTGAATGTATGTATGTGAATGTGTGTATTTCTTTGCCATCTGTTGTGTTGTATCAGGCGCAGCTGTAACCAGTGAATTTCCCCAACATGGAATCAAGAAAGTCTTATCTTTTAAGTGTTCCTTTGACCCCCCCCCCAAATATAACACACCTGTGGAGAAACATGGGGACCCTACTCAAATGTCTGTCTATAGATACAAAAGGCAAAACTAAGAAGCAAGGTTGACCTGTGTGTCTCCCTGCTACTACTAAAGAAATACACATGTCCTGCAGTGTCTAAACCACAGCAGTCCCAAGGGCAATATGTCAGCGAGGACTAAAATTACAGGTGTAATTGAATATTGATGAGAATGACCAGCTTGACAAGGTGTTCGGGTAAATTAAGTGCAGTTACAGCTGCTATACAGACTGCAACTCTAAAATTGTTACTTGAGTTTTACCGTTTGTGTTGCCTTACAAAACAGTGGCTGTAACCAACAAGTGTTGTGCTTTGTGCCCCATAGTGCCCGCGTGTTTGCCTGCTACACCTACTGCCAAACCGCGGAAGAAGTCTTTGATCGAGTCCTCAGTGACATCATACGGCAGGTTGCCCAGGAAGGCTGTGTATGGCGGGCTGCGGGGCAGTCGGGACCGGTCAATATTGGGTTCACGAGCTGAGCGAGGCGCTGTGGGCAGGATGGAGCGGTCAATGGGTGGCGCCCGGTATGTATCCTCCTCCGTGTGCCATGAAGTTGAGACTAGAGAGATAAGGAGAGGGAAAATTTCAAACAAATGCTATCCTAAAACTTTATTTTCCCTTTGTTACTTGGTCCATTAAATCCAGGAGTGCTTCTATTGTGACGCACGCAAAAAAGGTAATGGCAACAAAGACTTCACAACAATGAATCTTAGTGGAATAATACAGGCATTACTACACGTAAACATCCAATACAAACAAGAGACACTACAGTAAATCCCAAACTCCTATTCAAAAATGACTGTGTAAGAAATAGTTACCGCTGACTGGAAACCATTTTAATGTCAAATGCCCTTTTATTTATGCAGACATTAAGTGACACTGTTATGCTGAATTGTCTCCTAGCACATCCACACCATCTGTGGCAACAAACGGTCTGACTCGCTTTGCGTGTTTCTGTCACTCGTGTCTGAGAAGGTGATTAAGCTAACTGCATCTAAATTTGGCGAAGACAAAGACAAGTGTTGCAGTATGAGAATCCTACCTGGTGTCTATACAGTATGGAATTAAGAGTACGAAAAATAAGGAAAAAGGCAAAATAAATGGAAAAAATGGGAACATACTTGTTTGGTGTTCGGCAAATTTTTTCCATTATATTCGGTTTCAGACAAGAATTTTCATTTCGGTGCATCCCTAATTTATATGACCTTCTGTGCAAGACAACTAGCTACACTTAATGCGACAAGAACATGTGATTGTGTGATGTGTAGTTTGATGTGCAAACAAATTTGACAAAAACCATGTGTAGACACATCATGCAAAGCCACAAAGGAAAACTGCCAGGGCGCATGTGAAACACCATCCAGAGAGCAAAAGTCATTGAATTATCCATCTAGGACCTCAATCCAAACTATCCAGCCGACATTTCATATTCAAAACGGCCATCTCAAGTCTGTACAACCAAATGAATGGATTCCTTTCAAAGCACTTGGAAAACAGTGCAGTGGGTACGCTTACAGTTGACATATGGAGCTCAGATGTGTCATTACTCAGTCTGAAAGACACTTTAGAGATTCAAGTTTTACATCGCAAAAAGCAGCGCTGCAGGCTGAACAGTCATTATTTGGAAGCATTTCATCACTTTATAAATTTAACAATGTATGTGTATGTTCATAGTTATCTTCAGCAATCTTACATAACATGCATTTAAAAGGGCATAGTGGACAATATGATCATCAACATTGTATCAGCAGACCCTCAGTGTTGTGATATTCATACTGAAAAACTGCTGTTAAGACATAGTTCACCAATCCTGACCTTTTCTTACAATGCTGTATACATTAATAAGACGTGAAAAACAAAAAGATTAATACCTCTTTACTGCATCATTTACATTTAAAACAAAAATGCAGTCGCTCATTTTACATTCAGTCAAGTATCAGACCATGTTGATGTCACTAGTGTACCAATGTGACCGCACTGTTTTCATTTCTCACCACTCAACTAAGAGACAACCTGAGCAGTAGAGCGATGATATTGATTTCTACCACTGTTAAATGGAAAAAGGCACACGATGACCGATAAAGACTTTACACGTTTACTTCAGCGTGTGCTCACCATCTCCCTCCAGGTCGTCAGTTTCATCTGCCCAGCTAGTGGTTTTGGTTGGGTAGCTTGGGACTGCACTGCTGCCGCCAGTGTCCTCTGCCAGGAAGTCAGTCAGGGTGAGAGTCTTCCCCTTCTTATTCTTCTTCTTAGCTAGAGGGGATATGAACACAACAGTAAATAGTCAGCCATGGAAGAAACACGCAAGGCCACAGGTTCGTCACCCATCTAGGTGTGTGTGTGTGTTAGAGAGGTTTTCAAATTCTTTATCCACACCCCAGCCTTTGGTTTGAAAAAGGAATGTATTAAGGTTACATTTAACTTCATTTGATACATTTAACCTATTCGTTTGTAAAACTACATCCACCCACCCACAGAGTGAGTTTGAGAATAGACAGATATTACACATGGTGTGTAAAAATATAATTACAGTATCAATACAGTGATGACATATGAAATATAGTCATTTTAGCAGAACGACAGGGCTGCATGTTAGAGGACTGTATCTTGGTGTCTGAATCAATGCGTCATGTAATCCAGAAAAATCCTCATTATGTCTGTTTGAATGGTAAACAGTTCATCTCATAGAGCAGGTCTGGTTTGTTTTGGTCTGAGGCAAAAAAAGGGGGCCTACAAAGCTGGCTGTGAGCTTTATTGTGAAAATCCCGGCTGTCAGGACATTCTTTACACACATCGTTACAAAACCTACACAGAGAGAGAAAAACAGACAACAACTCTTTCCCAGTACACAATGCTAAGTCACTGTTTAGAATTACAGGCCCTGACTAAAACAAAAGAATAATGTACTGCTGTCAGTAGTTTTCTTAGCGCTTAGCACTAATGTGACATTAGCACGCCGGGAGCTGCGTAACATTTACTTTTGGCAGTAACGTTACTGACTTTTGCTTAAGCTACAAGAGCATAACTGTGAGGCCCGACAGCAGGGCTAAACATGCAGGCTGACTGTTTGCCATCTACGCAGGACGCTTTTGTCTTTATGCCTATGCGGGCTTAGTCAGCAAAGGACTGCTGATGGGGGAAGTCTCCCTGCTTAGCCGGCTAGGTTTTAGGGCCTAGTGCACGTCGCACCGCCAGGATCCAAGTGCGCCATCACCGGAGAAGGACTTGGTCGGCCGGATGGGACGGCTCAAAGTTGTAAAGCTATCAGGGAAGTGTTTAGGATGCGACCCTGCTACCCCGTTTCATGAAACACTGATACCAGGGAGCTAGGCTTTACACGTGGGGAGCCTCCTCGGGCTGCCCGGTCTTCTCGGCCCAACCCCTCTCCCATGAAACGCGCTTGCGCCCGATGCTTATCTGCTCAGAGCGCCACGGCGAGCTCCGCTACGGGGATACAATGTGCCAGCTCTGCACGCAGTTAGAAACATTTCACAACATGTTACACAACGACCAAAACATAAAATACCGTGTAAACCTGAAAGTGGAAAACCCAATCACCCCAATAACAAGTTTAATGGGGAAAGACCGCATGTAATCTGCAACGTTAGGGTAAAATGTTCAGGTTGTGCAAGTCGTTCATTCGTCTTCCCCCAGCAGTTACGTCTTTACCGGGCCAAAACAACCGACGAACCTGTTTATACACGCGGGACAACGACTCGAATCAACAACACGAGGTATTAGCAATCCCCAAACGTGATATGGTTAATTATATCGATGTAAAACCTGCTGATTTCCCCCCCAAACGGCTCGGATCGTTCACCCTCATAAACCTCACCTGACGCCGCCATGTTGGAGAGCGAGTTTGTAGTAGTTCCCGGATGAAGGCGTCAGAGGTTTATTATCGGGAGCGCGCATCGCCGTTCACGGGAGCGTCTCCTCCCTTGTTTACTCACCCACATCTGTTCAGCAAGAATTGTAGTTCTTCACGTCCTTCCTTTACCTTGTCACACGTTTCTATCACATCTGTCACCGAACTAACGTTCATTTCTCTTACATAGCAACACCAAATCCTTTTACAAAAACGTCTTTGCAGCTTTAAATGTTATACCGTCTATCTGCCTAATATTCTTCGTTAATCCATGTGAAATTGTTAACAATTAAAAAATTAAAAGAAGTCATAAGTATTGTTTGGTGCTTGGCTGCAAAGACTACATACAAATATATCATTCACTGTGACGTTTACCAGTTCATGGCAACATTTTTTGAAATTTAAAACTATCAAATTCAAGTTTATCAAAGAATCCTAAGCATTAGCCTTAACTGAGGGGAACTGCTTGAACGACTAAGAGCAAAAGGATTAAAAATCCTCAGACCTATGTGAAAGGTGACGCTTATTCTATAATGATACTGTTGCATAGTTAGTTTATAATGCACATAGCCTTTATTTAAATTTCTTTATTGGGAAACTAGTAGCCTAACTACAACTGTTAAATGAATGCAGTGGAGTAAAAAGATAAAATCTACAATGTATAAAGTAGCATTACATGGAAATACTCAACTAAAGAACAAGTACCTGAAAAGTGCAGCAGTATTTGAGCATTTAGTTACTTTTTCATTTCTATTATAGGGGAGATAACAATATAGAAATATAAAAATAGGCTTGCACTGTATTTCAAATTACAAAATCACATTCTTCATCTTCATAAACCAGTCTATTAAAGCTTCAAACAAGAAGCGTTGATTGAGCCCAAACCAGAGCTAAAAGGCCAATTAATGTGTCGGGGACTGCTAGCGATTTGCCCCTACACTGTAAACCTGAATAAGAATAGAAAACTCAAAATATTTGTAGAAACTGATATATATATATAATACTATTTTTGAGTAAACCTAACTAAAAATTCCACTTTACAATTTACTCAATAAATGTTATTATGCACAACTTATACACTGAGGGAAATCTACTCAAAAAAATGAATTGTGCGAGACTCAAATACTAATGGAAACTCACTCAACAAAATTACTACTAGTAAACTTAAAATTTACAAAATGCCCATTTTTAGATAGTAGTCCTCAAAAACACAAATACAACTCCATTATTACAATTCAAGTTCTCTTTATTAGTATCATTTTCTCACATCTTCCATCATTTCTACAATTAACAAACAAAATAATGCACATCTTGCATAAAGCTGAATAGACAAAGTAATTGACTGCTTGATCAGATAATTAACCAGCAACAAATTTGAAAATCAATTTGTTTTCATTGTTTTTTGCAATAATGTTGAACTTTCTCTATTTCCAGATTCTTAATGACATTTTTTAGTGTTAAGTGATAATAACTTGAATCTTGAGCTAAATAAAATTTCCTTTTACTACTTGCTTTACTGTGTTTTGTGGAAAAAGCGACTATGCCTAATTTTATTCTATCAGCAGCACTTTTACTTAATAATATAAAAGGGAGCTTTAAATGTGGAGTTTTATGGAAACATAAGCAAATAAAGATAGCTAATAAAGATTGTTTAAAATAAGAAGTCCCACACTATGCAAAGTCAGGTAGACGATGTAATGGAACAATATCAAGGTTTCTGCAGGTTTCACCTGGTCAAATTTAAGACCTTTTTAATACTGTTATGAATGAAATTTAAGACCTATATCACGACTTAAAAAAAAGAAGGAAGGCAGTCACAAAATTACTTGCAGAGTAAATCAGTATATTCAAATTAGGGTAGAATGATGTCTACAAAATTGGTATCGGACGATGTCAACAATGAAACACTGGGATGGACGATGACATTGATGAGCTACTAATTAACAAGCTGGCATGCGGTACACCTGCTGAATTGAAAAATGGAACACTGGGAAAAACAATTCTGTGTCTTTTCAGTGACTTTATAAAACATAACCTACTGCTGATGGATAAACTCAGGGGAGCAGACAGGGAGACAGAGAAAAGCAGGGAAAGCTGGTGTGTTTGCAGTGAGAGACCAGAGGGAAAGGTGTGTGTGTGAGTGAGTGCAGGGAGAAGTCGAGGCAGGCGCAAAGCAGGTACATTTACAAAAAATAATGGAAATAATGTCCATGGGGATTAAAACAAGCTTTCACAGGGCGGTATAATATAAAAAATTAAGATGGTATATTTGTGTGGGGTACTGGGGGTCTTCCCCCAAGAAAATTATATATATAGATATTATATATATAGAGCAGATTTGGAATAAACTACACCCCAAAAGCTAAACTTGCTAAATAAGTCTCGTAATAACTCGTTGAAAGGCCAAAATCGTAACATATCCCTCGTTTAAAAATGGCGGATGTGTTTACCGCGAGATCTGGCAACTCTGATGTATACAAACTTTCAAGTCTCGCGTTGCCAGTAGTCATGTCTCAGTAGGGCTACAGCTGCCATCTAGCAGTTGAAAATAGTAATTGCATTTTGTTTTAAATTAAAATGAAAGTTAATGTAGTGAACGTTACAGCGAAAATAAAGATAATTTAAATGTCACTAATTGCCTCTATTTTGCGGTGTGGGCTAAAAGCAGACTACACGTAGCCTATCCAAATAAGAGCTAAATCGTGGCTACAGATAGACATGTCAATTTAATGACACTTGATATCTTGTAGATATTATTGACATTGCAAAAATAATGGGATATCAACCATCTCACGTGCAAAACCCCACTTTTAATCATTTTTGACTTTTTTGACTAAAAGTGGGCTACAAATAGCCGGTCTGTCTACGAGCTAAATCATGTCTACGCACAGGCTGCACGTAAATCATGTGTAAGAAATGAAACAAAAAACCTTGTAATCACTGTAGACCTTGCTTAAATGATGGAATATCAAACACCATACACGCAAGTTAATTTTGTAAAAACGGCATGTAAAGCCACATGTAAAGTTATTGTGGCTAGAAGTGGGTTACTCATAGCTGGACTAAATCAGGTCTATAGTAAACCTAGACGGTCAAATGACGGCTATTGCTTGCTGGGGACTTAACGAGTGCTTCAAAGGTAACGGCAGTCATCACTTTTTTCCCTTTCCCCTCTTGTATCATGCAGGTTACACCGGTAAATCTCAGAATCAGACTTGGGGGCTTGTTATTTCTGTTAAATGAACTGAACGATTGAATTGTGGAGAATCTAAACGATCTAACGATGTGTAGCATGTAAATGCTCCGTATTTTTATATAGTCTTTTCGACCACTCAAAGCACTTTTACACTACACATCTGCATTCATTCTTAAGTGCTCAGACAGAAACTAACATTCACACTCATTCATACCCTGGCGGAACAGAAGTCGGGGCAAATCGGGGTTCAGCATTTTGCCCAAGGACACTTCGACACACCGCTGACCTTCCGATAAACACCCAACCCGCTCTATCTCCTGAGCCACAGCCGCACCATGTCCATACTGTCCATACTGACATATTAATCATATGTTTTAACGTTAATATTTCTATAAACGATCTAAGCAGCTAAAGCAGGCGACCCCGCGGGGTTTAAGAGGTTTTATACATCCAAAGAACTTCTATAAAAACCAGACCAGGCGTTAAATTAAGGCAGGCCTTTATTTGTCAAAATGTGTTCCCACACCAGGCCAGTAAAGGGGATAGGCGGCTATTTGGGACTCGGCTATTGAAGTTTTACACAGGCCTAAGTTTTTATTTATTTTTTATTTATTTAACCTTTTTTTACCCAGGGGAAAAAAACCCAGTCTGATTAACTCTGCCAATTTTTCAGAGAACCATGGATTATCTCTTCCTCTAATCTTGAGTTTCTTCATAGGGGCATGTTTATCACAAATAGATATAAAAACTGTTTTAAAATGCTCAAAGGCAATGTCAATATCAGGATGGTACACATCATACAGGAAAGGTTGTACATCAAAATGCTTAAAAACCCTCTTGTAAATAAAACAAGGTTTAATTTTTGGCGGTTTTGCATTTCTCACACAGGCAATTACACAGGGATCACTGACATCATTACAAAATACCCCAACAGAATTATATTTATGTGGAGTATTTACTAAAATCTAGTCTAGTAAAGTTGTCATACCAGGAGTACGGGAATTTAGTCTTGTTGGAACATTTATCAGTTGTGTAAGATTCAGAGAGTCCCTAAAAGTGTCTGATACTGATGTGAGCCAGTCCCAGCTCAAATCCCCCATTAGATTAAGTTCAGAGTCACACAGTTTGTGCAGTACATCGGAGAGTGAGGTAAGGGCATCACTCAAGGCGGAGGGCTGCCTGTAACAGCCCACTACAGTAAAACTGCATCTGGTTTTGGTGACGGACAGCACTAAAGAGCTTTTGTACTTTGATTTCACAAAAATTGCAACACCTCCTTTGCCTAAACGATCAGTTCTAAAAAACATATACCCATCATTTGTAACCAGTTTATTAGGGATAGATTAACATTTAAATGCAGAAACCCAAGACCTGCTCTATTTTTAAAATCCATGGGGGTTTGCAATAGCTGTACCGGATCTAGTGGTCCAGGATTTGGATCATTTCTCTCAGACTTAAGTTTGCTCTGTGTGACATCCCCAACTCTTTCAGCTGCTGGGATGTCTATCTCTTTGTGTTCTATGTTGCAGATGCCAGTAGGTGTGGTTAAGATCATCAGTTATTGGAGCCACCTGGGCCCGGTGTTCTCAGCATAAGAGCGTGTCTCATGTTCTGCACTTGGGGCTAGAGAGGAGGGAAACCCTGTTCCCTATATGCCTCATTATTTTTTGTTTCTTTCACCATACAACACCACTCACTATTCCTTCAAGCATGCATACCTGCTTACATGACTGACTTACTCATTATCACACTTCAGATGATTATTTGAACATTAAGTTGTGTCT